GGGGGGGGGGTTCTTATGTGGGGGTGTGTGTTCAGCAGTCGTTGAACACACACAGCAGGGTCAGAGGTCAACCAGGGTCAAATGAGACTAACTAACCAGTCTGACTAACTAACCAGTCTGACCAACTAACCAACAGGAGGTGAAATGACCTTCATTTTAGTGGACGATTTGTTGACAAACAAATAATGAACTAATATATAAATAAATAAATGTCAAAAAATGAAGAACGTTTTAGGGATTTTATAAAATGTGTTTATTAACTATTAACAACAACAACAACAACAACAACAACAACAACAACAACAGTCACAGGGATCGGTTCCAGGTTCATTCAAACAGTCCCCTCAGCCATAGGCACCGATCCTTCTGAGGACCATATGAAGGGTGAGGGTTCAATTCCCTGGATGACCCTTTGACCTCTGGTTCCACTGTCAGTGCTGCAGGAACCAGAGAACCACGGACCAGGTGAGGAGAGGGAACTGGTGAACGGCACAGAGGGAGAAATGAAGGGGGGGGGGGGGGGAGGGGGGGGGGGGGGGGAGGTGGGGGGGGGGGGGGGAGGGGGGGGGGGGGGGGTGAGAGGCATGCAGGGGGAGAGGGGGAATGAATGAGAACCATTGATGGTGGAGGAGGAGAGGGGGAGGAGGGGGGGAGAGGGGGGGGGGGGGGGGAGGGGGGGGGGGGGGGAGGTGGGGGGGGGGGGGGGAGGTGGGGGGGGGGGGGGGGAGGGGGGAAGGGGAAGGGGGAAAAAAGAAGGGGGGGGGTGAGAGGCATGCAGGGGGAGAGGGGGAATGAATGAGAACCATTGATGGTGGAGGAGGAGAGGGGGAGGGATCAAAAGGTATTTACACCCAGAATTCCTGAAGGAAAAGAATCTGAGGTGAGGAGGGAAGAGGGGAGACCATGGAGGGAGGGGGAGGGAGGGGAGGGGGGGGGGGGGGGGGGTGAGAGGCATGCAGGGGGAGAGGGGGAATGAATGAGAACCATTGATGGTGGAGGAGGAGAGGGGGAGGGATCAAAAGGTATTTACACCCAGAATTCCTGAAGGAAAAGAATCTGAGGTGAGGAGGGAAGAGGGGAGACCATGGAGGGAGGGGGAGGGAGGGGAGGGGGGGGGGGGGGGTGAGAGGCATGCAGGGGGAGAGGGGGAATGAATGAGAACCATTGATGGTGGAGGAGGAGAGGGGGAGGGATCAAAAGGTATTTACACCCAGAATTCCTGAAGGAAAAGAATCTGAGGTGAGGAGGGAAGAGGGGAGACCATGGAGGGAGGGGGAGGGAGGGAATGTACCACAGGGGTGTTGAGGAAGGGGGTGGGGTGGCAGCAGCGGAAACGCAGAAGGGGCAAACAGAGGGGTCTTTTGTGAAACAGGAAGCTGCAGAGACCAGGGACAGTGGAGGAGCAGAGACCATGGGTACCATGTGACGGAGGAGGAACACCTGGTTCTGGCTGCTTATCACAGGTTTGAATCCCGCCCTCCTCCTGTGTTCACCCACTGCTCCTCAGACACGGGTTGTTGGTTCAAATACCGTCCGTCTGTGGAGCTCAGGGTGAGGAGCTGATGTTCTCCTCCGTCAGGTCGGCTCCTGGACGGATCCTCAGATGAACATATTTGCCCCCCCCTCCCTTCTCCCCCCCCTCCCCCACAGGCAGAATTACACAGTGAGTGAGACGGTTCTCAGTTGTCCCAGATTTAGCCCGGCTCAGTTCTGGTCTGGACCGGCCCAGGTCCCAGGCTGTGATTACAGCTGACCAGTCATTTCAATGTTGTCACTTGTAATTCCCACATGTCTGGAAGTCACCGCAAAGTCACCGCGAAGCCACCGCGTCACCACGGCTGAAGGAGAAGAAAAATGGAAAAAAAAGATGAAAGACAAAAAAAAAAGTAAAATGACAGGAGAAGAAACGACCGCAGTGATGTCGAAATACCTCCGACGGTAAATAATACTGTCGCAGAAAAAGTACTGCAGTAGTACACGCCACAAGTTTGGACAAAGTTAGAAAATATGTTCATGTAAAATCATGTAAAAAATGATTTAAAAAAAACAATCAATGAAAATAAACAAGAAACAGGCGATGATTCATTCCTGGAGCTAAAATGCTACGCTAACAGAACTAAATCAGCCAATGACAACAAAGATTGTGTGTGTGTGTTCAAAGACGGGGGGGGGGGCACAGGTACTGGAATAATAATATGTAGTACATGTAGTACTAGGAACTGTCGGTACGTGGGAAAAAAACTGCAGTGAACCAGTGGACAAACGGTCACCGGTTCTTTCCAGCAGGGGGAGCCGTTCACCTGTTCCAGTCATCCTACTGTTCTGTTCTCTGCTGATTTAAAAATAAACCACTGGTTATCTCCTCATCAGCAGAAAACCCTCTGTCTGCTCCCTCTGCTGGCAGCTGCTGGCACTGCAGCGGTGGCACACTTGGCTCAGAAGCTTCTGGAACATAAAAGGTGACACATGTTGTTCTGTCTGAGCGGAGTCACAGCCGAGGGTGAAACATTCAGGGCGGCTCACCACGGGTCCAAATAAAAACAAACGACTGACGACTTAACAAACGGACGTTGGATCGACCGTCCTCCCTCGTCCTCACCGTCCTCCCCCGTCCTCCAGCCTCTGCTGCAGCTCCTGGAGCTTCAGGGTGGTCGGAACCAGAACTACAAACAGGAAGTGATTTAACGCCGTATTTAAACTACGAGACAAATATGAAAATATAGAGTTCATATATATTTATAACAAAATCCTGCTGAGAGACGTCCAACTGTGGACACTGGACAGAGGAGACAGGGACACGGTCAGACTGATGGAGGGGAGGGGAGGGGGGCAGAGGGGGGGGGAGGTTTCCACTCCGTCTC